CAAATGTTATGCTGCCTTATTCAGGGGAGGAGGAGCCCGTCCTGCCTGCCCCTGTGACCCTGCCTTCCCAAGCAGGGGCCTGAGATGTGGAACTGCCCCACTCAGGGGGTAGTTTTGTCAATGCAATTGTCTCTGTTTTACAAATTGGAGTCACTCTTATGCTGTACCCAGTTTCTGAACTGGAGACTGTGTGCCCCCGGGCTCTGAGCACCCCTGCTATGGGCTCGGGCCTTAGGCTGGATTGGAAAGAGCTGAAGATAATGGCCTTTGTCCTCCTGGCCTGGCAGCTGTTCCCCCACTGCATCAGATAGGAAGATGGACAGCACGCTGAGAGCCTCAAATCCAGCTGGCCACCCTGCCCTGAGCAGGGCACTCACGCTGGCCAGGGGAGCTCTGTCAGCTGTCTGTGAGTATGCCCCAGTTAGGCCAGAGCCTCTCCAACTGTTAGAAGGGAGAGCCCCTATGATGCCGCCAACCATGTCCAAAACCGCCAGCTCTTCCTCCTTGGCCAGCCTTGCCCATCCCCATGTGGTTTCAGCCTCTTTCTCTTCTTGGTCCTCCCTTCGGGGAGGAATGGTAGCAGGGGTCTGGGAGCCAGTATCTCCAAGCAGCTTAGAGTTGGCCTTATTTACCTCAGCCTGGGCGCTGGTCCTTTCTTCCGGCCCCTCCCCTCCAAAATGTGCCTATTGCTAGAGCTCCTCCCTCTCAACACCCAGTTTCCTTGGGAGTTGTCATTAAAGGAAGAAAAGAAAAAAAAAAAAAAAAAAACAGTGCCCAGGGATGGGCATCTCCAGGGAGCTGGGGATTAGCGCCAGGCAGCTCATTGCCAGCCATGCCCACTTCCCCACGGGCACCAGAACAAGCCAAAGCCTTCGTTGTATGTTGACGATGCACTTTTATGAATGTAGTTTCTATCGCTGTTTTTAGCCTTTTCACATCATGTAATGTGAGGCCTTGTACTTGTTAATTTATATCTCAGATCATATTTGATGGTTTGTATATATATCACTGCTAGACTGTTACAGTTGATGGACACCTCAAGAGAGAAAAAATGAAAGCAGGTTTTGCAGGAATGTGTTGCACGGTGCCAATTGGGCCTGGGCCCATTTCCATCCTTTTCCCCCACGGGTCTCTGTCAGGCACCCCTGGCCCAGCCCTAAGACAGCGAGCATGTGCTCCTGCCTCCACCTCGGCCCTTGCCCAGGGTGGGGACTGGGCCCCTCATCTCGACCAAAGCTGCCTAGTGGCAGCTCAGCCTCTCCAAGACCCCATCCTGATGGCTCCACCACTCTTCTTGGGCCTACACCCTGTCCTGTCCCCATTTCCCAAGAGGAAACAGAGCATGCGCGGTGCCGGAGCTGACAAGATGAGACGACTCTGTGTCCCAGGTTCAGGCTCTCACAGAGCCCCCACTCCCACCCCCTCCCCACTCCAGGGTCTTACCTCACAGGGAATGTGTTTCTAAGAACGAATTTGCAAACAAGCCAACAAACCCTGCACTCCAAAATAAAATAAGACCCTGATTTTTTGTGTGTGCGCCCAAAACTGTGGACATGCTGGCTCAGCATCCTCAGGACCAAGCTGTTGCTTAATTTTAATTTATTATTAAATAATCCAGATGACAAGTTGTGGGCTTAGAATGGCCTGGGCCCAAAGGTTCTGAAGGGCAGTCTCCTAGCAGCCCCAGGGTTGCTGTGGGAAGGGCTGTGTGCCATTTGCTCATCATTCCATGGGGTATGTCAGCCTTGGCCAGCCCAACAGAGGCCAATACCGGGGACAGTCTGTCCTCTGCCACCCTCCTGCCCCTCCCACCCACTCAGCTCTGTGTCTGTGTCTGAATTGTGGATTGTGCAGAAGAACCTGCAGCCATAGTTATCTGACTGTATCTTGACCGAGGGCTTGCAGAGCAAAGCCAGGCCAGTGTCGCGCATTACTTAAAATAAAAGGGATCATTTATACCAGAGGGGTCCTGTGGTAGTGCTTCTGGTTGAAGGGTGGAGGGAACAGGTGTTCGCTGGGGAAGGGCTGGGTGTAGTGCCTGGCAACAAACGGGTGCCTCAGTAGAGAACTGAAATCAGACTCCAAGAGGGGGCCTGAGATGGGACGACTTGGCTAGTACCACAGCTAGCTCAGAGATGGCACCCCCTCCTCTTGCGCCCAGGAGCTCTCCTGAGGACAGTTCTGTCAGCCTGGAATGTCACAAGAGTCTGGGTGTCCAGCTCCTTTGTGGCATCTAGTAGTCTTCCTAGCCTAGAGGACTCCCCTTGGTCCCATCCTTTCAAGGCAGGAATCCGGTGCCTCCAGGAGTCATCTGTGGTATCTGCCCCTGGTCTCTCTGCTGATGCTTAGTTTTGCGCAAGGAGACCATCCTTTTCTCCATCTGAAGCTTCTGGTGTCAAAGTTGGGCCTGCCCTGAGGCTTTCAGAGGACCCACTCTGCTTACTGAATGTTAGCTCTGCCACTTCAAAGGCAATGTCTACCTCAACACAGTCGCCCATCTGGCACCAGAGCTTGAGGCCTAGCTCCCTACCCTGTCCTATAGGCATGAAGTCACTTAAGAGCTTGAGTTGTATGGGGCAGTGGCACCGAATCTCCAGGAATCTGCCCTCTTGCTCACAGGCAATTGGGGGAAATCAGAACAGTTGGATCTGGGGCAGGACAACCCATGCTTCCTGCCTTTATCTTGGTGGGAGAAGGGGTGTCTTAGATCCTCCAGGCTTGCCTTGTTTGTTGTCCCTCAGAGAGACAAACTACTTGGACTCCCTGGGACAGTGACCATGGTTGCCCCACTCACCGGAGCTTGAAAAGGCAGGATAAGATAAGAGGGGGAAGGGGCACAGAGACTAGGAAACTGATGGCACTTGCTGGATCTGCTGATTCCCTCCATCCCTTGCTGATTTCCGGGGCACAAGGGGCCCAGACCAGGGCTCAGCAGAAGGGGTCTGCCTTGTACCCTAACATTACTGAATTGCAGTGTGAAACCAGGCACCATCACACACTGGTGGCCCGTTCCTCTTGGCCAACACAAGGCTGAAGGACAAAGGAGTTTCAGTTATAAACACACTCTGGGTTTGAGAGCATGGAGACCTGGCTGGGATAGGGACACCCTTTTTGTCAGGCGGGCTGCTATTTCTGACACCCATCACTGCTCCCCAGGAAGGCCAGATGTGTGCTGAGCTGACCCTGTACCCTCTTCACCTTTGCATGGTGAGTTGGTGTCCTTCCTTCCATAAAGCCCCCCATCAGGCCACATAATACAGAGTCATGATCTGTTGAAACATGTTTAACACAGGGTTGATCACAACAGAACCGGCAGAAACAGAAGAGGGAGTGTGGCTGCCGCCAGTCTCTGGCTCTTAGCCTGGCAGGTGCTTTAGCTTCTGCTGCTTGATGCCAGTGGTAGGAGATGGTCCCAAGCCCCACTGGGGCCTGCCCTGCCTTGCCTTGCAGGGAGGGGCAGGGCTGCTCCACCCCCCCCCCCCCCACTGAGCCCTAGTGGGCATTCTGAGGCCCAGCAGAAGCTCGCTGGCTTTCCTTCCTCCAAAGTCTCCATGGCTCAGAACCAGGCTAAGGGCAGAGGTAGATGGGGAGACATGGGGGCCACACAGGACTCCAGGTGGCAGTGAGGGAGCTTAGGACCCTGAGGGGAACATGCTGACTCCTTGCTGGAGAAAAGGCACCTAGATAAGAAAGCTGGGCTGGGGGACCTCCAAGGGAGCCAGGGGGTGAGGTTGGGTAGGCTGAATGAAGCAGGAAGCAGGATGGTGAGCAACCCCTCATCCTGGTTCCCAAATCCCCACCCACTGAAGAGAATGAAGGAATCCTGCAGCAGAGCCCTGCCCCTATAACCCTCTGCCTGAGCAAGATGGCCTCATCCCGTTCCCACCCTGCCTCCCCACCCGAGCCCAGGTCCAATCTCTTTTCCACACTTCCACCGTCCTGCTCCAGGCCCTCTGCAGAGAGAATGGACAGTCAGAAGGCCTCAGGCTGTCTTGGTGCTGGCATCCACCTCCTTGTGGGCCCAGAGCTCCTTGTGCTGCTTTCGGCCGAAGCCTTCATCATAGTTGCCTTTGCTCTTGAACAGCTGCTGGAAGTGGGGCTTGCAGTAAAATTCCCCATGCAGTGCCGCGTAACTGCCCAGGCTGCGGAAGCAGAACAACTGTGGTCAGGTCGGGTCAGGGCTGGCACATGAGGGCAGGGGCAGGGGCAGGGCAAAGGTGCACCTCAGCTTGGTGTGACAGTGCTTGCAGCAGAAGCAGGAGTTGTGGAAAATGAGCTTGTCTGCCACCAGCCGCTCCATGGGGTACACGGTCTTCTGGCAGGCAGCACAGGTCTCCTTCACCTGGGCCCGAAGGCTGAAGGACTGTTGAGAGGAGAGACTCAGCCGCCCGTCTGACCAGTGCCCATCCCCTCCTCCCCCCACACCCCACCCTCAAGGCCCTACCTTGGAGCGCTGAACGGTGCTGGGGCCACAGCCGCCTTTGGCTTCCTGAAGGAGAGGGCCAGTCAGGGCAGGGGCAGCTGAGAGACGCCCCAGACCTTCACTGGGGTCATCAGCCCAGTTCCCACGGGCACTCAAGGGGGAAGGGGCAAAGGGTGGAAAGCAAACAGACCGCTCCTCACCCCTTCATCCCCAAGCCAGACACCTGCTCCGGGTGTCCTCCCACCCGGCTGATCACCTACAGGAGAAGGGGTGGCCTGGGCGGCTCCTGCAGCCTGGAACATGGCTGGTTGAAAGTGATGGAGGCCTGGGTGGAGACGCGGCACCCGCTGGGTTCTGCAAGGGGAAGTCGGTCGGTTGGGCCCCAAAGCCCTTCCCCAGCCTGCAGGGTGGGGGTGGGGGTGTTTACAAGCAGGGGGCTGGGGGGCTGTGGTTGGGACTTTTTCTAAGTCATTTCCTGTTGCTCTGGGTCTTGCCACTTCCGCCCTCACCCACCTCCCCCTTCTCCCGCCCGCCCCCCACGCTGTTCCCCAAGGGGTAGGGGTCCCTGAGTGGAACCATGTGTCCGGGGATGAACAGAGCGACTGAGGGGGGCTGCTCCACAGCCGCCGAGGGCGCCCTGCGAACCGGGACTCTGCATACGGTGAGGGTGGGGGTGAGAGAGGTCAGGAGAGGGCGGGCCAGGAACGGCCGCGGCGACAACCCGGTGCCCCGGCCTGACCCCAACCCTATGCAGCCCAGCGCAGGGCCGAGGGCGCCGAGGCCGATGGCATCCACAGCTCGGCTGACCCAGCCCGTGGACAGCGCTCTCTGCCCGGCCGCGCGCCTCGCTCCTCGGCCTCCGGTCCCGCGTGGACGGGACCCCACACCTGGGCCCCCGCGGGCCCAGCTGAGGGGTGTTTGGCCCCGTTCTCGCCCGGAGGCCCGCCCTGAAGGCCAGCCGTTAGCCTCGGGGCCCCAGGCGGGAGCTATGGGCGGAAGCTCTCCGCGGGGGACCCCGGAGCGGCGGCCCCCGCAGCCCCCACCTAGGCGCCCTAATTTGCGAGCCGGTTGCAGAGCCCTTCCTCCGGCCGCCCGCTCGCCCATGTGTCTCACCGGGTCCCGGCCTGGGCCGCGGGGCGGGGGTCGGTCTCCGGGGGCTACCTCGAGTGCGAGGTGGCGCGGGTTCAAGCTGCCGCCGCTTGTCTGTACTCCCCGAGCGGCCGCCGCCGCCACCGCCTTATCGCAGCACCGCCCCCGCCGGACCCCGCCTCGCGCCCGCCCATTGGCTCCGCCGCGCCCGGCGCCGCCGCCGACCCCCTCTGCGCTTTGTCTTTCCCTCGCTCGCCGTCCCCGCCTTTGTCTGCCCCCCGCCCCAACGCCGCGCTCCCGGCGCTACGCACCTCCCCTCGGGCCCCGCGTTCGCTGGCCTCGCGAAACCGGCCGCCCCGTCGGCCCGCTCCAGGAGGCGGGAATAGGAGATCTAAGGCCCTACGCTGCATGCCTCGGGGCAGGGACGAGTTCAAAATGAGACGCCTGGGGTCGCGGGACAAAAAGCGCTCCCGGCGAAGCTCCTGCACCGGCAAAGAAGTATCGGGCTTCTCCTAGGCCTTTTGCTGCCTCAGTTTCCCCTAGTTAGCCCCCTTCCGGCCCGGCCCTCCGTGGGCCCTGCGGCCTGACAGACCCCGCGGGGGCGGCCCGGGAGGTCCGGCCAGAGTCCGTGTCTCCCACGCCCCCTCGGGCTGCGGAGTCCTCCCGCCGCCAGGGGCAGCCCCGCGCGCCTGCATGGCTGCCGAGGAAGATGACAGCGGTGGCCAGGGCAAGCGGTCCCGCCACGCCCGGCCGCTGGGCTGCGAGGTACGCCTGCGCCTCAGGGAGGTGCCCGGGACTTATGTGTTCAGTGACCTGATGCCCCCTCACCGCGGGGTCGGCTTGTACGAGGGCCCGGTTGGGACCATCTCCTGCGACCCCCAAGACAAGGGGCCCGGGAAGGTGCTGTCTTTGGTGTCCCAGGGCACTTGCTCTCTGAAAGCGTTTCTGTGGCCGGATTTTGTGGGGTTAGTCACCCCTGGCCCTTGTAGGCACCGTGGCCTGCCAGGAGTCAGGGCACCCCCTTCAGGGAATGAGATCCCCATCCTGCAGACCAGCAAACCACGGTGCACACAAACCTCACTGAGGACAAGGGAGCGAGGCCTGAAGGTTTGAAGGGACCCGTTCCAAGTAATACAGCTGGTGAAGCCGGGCTGGGTGAGAAGCCCCACCTCCGGACCCCGGCTCCTGACTCCCTGCTCCACGCCGGCTCCAGCCCACCACACAACAGGCCTGAGGCGGGCACCCAGGAGGCAGGTGACCATCCCTTGCGTGGGGTGGAGCTCAGCTGTGCGGGAAACATGCCAAAGCAGCCTCCTGAATGGGCCTCTGCTGGGAGGGTGGGGGGCCCGCTGGGCACCCGGACTGCCAAGCTCTGCCTGACACCAGGCTGGAAGCTGTTGCACGAAGCTCAGCCCTCAACATAGTGGGTTCCCACACGGTGCAGGAATAGAACTAGCGGCTCCAGAGGGCGGCCCACGCACTCACCAGCGAGCAAAACAGCGCAGAGCCTCCGCACCTGGCAGCGGAGGAGGGCGGCCGCCCTTGGCTTGCTCAGCACACCCACGCTGCGCTTTTTTCCCCTCAGCCTCCCGTTCCTCTCTGGAGGCTTTGTGTTTGGGTTGAGCTGCAGGCCTGAGGATTCTCTGGATGGGGCGTGTGTGAGAAAATTCTAGGCTAAGTTTCCACACCTGTCATCAGATTCTCAAAGGGGGCTGTGGTGATTTCAGAAGGGTGAAGCCCTCGGGGGTATAAGGAGCGGGACAGGGGCTGGCAGCGGAGCTCGGTCTGGCCGGCCTGACCCTGAGGCCCCGTTGCCCTGCCCAGGATCAATCTGTGGGCTGAACTGCGGGCAGCTGCCAGTCACCAGTTTGGCCTAAAAATGAGCTGATGAGCAAGGTGAAGAAAGCATTTTACAAGCAAAGAAAACGGTGCATGATGTTAAGGGAACTTGAGGTTCAGAGAAAAAAATGAGCTGGGCAGGGGAGAGGAGGGTTGTGACCTGGCCTTCTTAGTCCACTTCAGGGCTCTTCACCCCACCTCACGTCCTGGTTGGTGTCATTCCTTCACATCAACCCCTATAACTGCCCAAAGAAGAGGGTTTTGTTCTTTTTTTATTCTTTATCCTCGTCACCCAAGGATATTTTTTTTCATTGCTTTCAGAGGGGAAGCAAGAGACAGAAAAACATCATTGTAACATTGATTGGCTGCCTTCTCGTTTGTGCCGTGACTGGGGATTGAACCTGCAACATGGGTGTGTGTGACTGGGAATTGAACCCACGAACCTTCGATCTTTGGGTTGATACTCCAACCAATTGAGCCACACTGGCCAAGGCCATTTTGTTCTTTTTTTAAACTGGTGTTAAAATTTCTGAGGAAAGGGAAAGTGAGAGCATTTGATAGTTCAAAGTGGCTTCAAGGAAGAGGGAGGGGCACTTCCTTAATCTGACATTAGAAGTGCCTCACCCAGAGCAGGGCACCTCACCCTGAGGGACTGGCAGGAGGGAAGGTGCCAGGCTGGTGCACATGCAGGCTGGGAAGCACCTCGGAGAAGACCCAGGTTAGAATCACCCCCTGGCCCGGCCTCTCCGGCTGCCAGCCAGGATGACAGGGCAGGGCGCCGGTCTGGTTCTTAGGTTACCTGCTCCTTTGGTATTAGTTTCAGTGGTAAGGAGACACCACAAGTCATGTTACAAAATAAACCCTTCCACCTCCTTTCCTGCCAAAGGTGAGCATCTTCTCCCTGGACTCTTAGCGGCCAAGAAGCAGTCCTGTGGAGGGGCTGGCCTCTAGCATCTACTGGGGGGCCTAACTTTTTGGCATCTCTGGGCCACACTGGAAGAAGGGTTGTACTTACATAAACTTATATAAGTAAATTTATAATTTTGTGTTGGGCGGCATTCATAGCTATCTGGAGCCACATGCAGCCCACGTGCCATAGGTTGGATACCCCTGATAAACCTTTCCAACCCCAAAGTGTTTTGATGGCCACAGGCTAATAATGTTAATAGTCTCTAAATTTTAGATAGTTAAGACAAATTTATTATGGGTTTTATTTTCTTTTTTAATCCTCACCCAACTACATGCTCATTGATTTTAGAGAAAAGGGGAGGGAGAGTGTAAGAGGGAGAGAAACACAGATCCACGGTTGCCTTTTGTACATGCCCCAAATGGGCATCAAACCTGCAACCAGGTATGTACCCTGACTGGGAATCACACCCGTGACCCTTTTTCACTTACAGGACAATGCTCAAACCAACTAAGTCTGTTATGGGTTTTAAAAGAATTGGCACGCCCTGGCCAGTGTGGCTCAGTTGCTTGGAACATCGTCCCTTTAGGTTTGATTCCTGGTCAGGGCACATACCTAGGTTGCGAGTTTGATCCTCAGTCTGGGTGCATGTGGGAGGCAACCCATCAATGTTTCTCTCCCTTCTTTAAAAGCAATGAAAAAATGTCCTTGGGTAAGAATAAATAAACGTATAAATAAATAAAAGAATTAGTATGTTGTGAGGCTGTCTATCTAATGACAAGAGGTCACTGCTGTGCTTCCATGGGCATTGTGGGACCACTCTCGGGTGGTAGAACCCAGGGTGGAATGAGATACGTTTGAGCCAACACACAATAATGCTACTCTCCAATGGGTGCTCTGAAAATTTTAATTTGTTCTGGCAATAAAACTAACAGGGCATAAGGATTAAAGCCCTCTGGCTAGACAAGACATTATTGGCCCTTAGAGAAAGCACCAAGGCAGCAGCAGGAGGCAGTAAGATGGACTCTTGGTGGGAAAGAAATGTACTACACAGATGAACAATGGAAGGTTTTAGGTTTCAGGGCCCAACCAATAACAAGGATCAGGAGGAACTGCCCCAGCCTTAACCTGATGCTTAAAAAGGAAAAAAATGCCCTTTTCTCCAATGATCAGGGAGAGGTCAGAGGGGAGAGGGTATGGATTGCTTACTGCTTGCCTCTCCATGGACCTGCAGGATCTGAGAGCACTGGAAAAGAATAGAGTCTGGCTGGTAGGCGAGCAAGAGTGAAAAGAGGAAGTCACATAGTTCCCTGTGTCAACAAGTCAAACCCCAAACTTGAACTTCAGCCCCCAAGGGCCAGGACAGCTTCTCTTCCTTCTGAAGACGCCACCTAAGCTCCCTGGGCTGGGAATGTCAGCTTTCTGGCCCATCTGGATCCCTTGTGTCTCAGACGCCTTGGAGCAGTAAAGAAAAGTTCCTCTCCAGGAACTTCTCTCCCAGTCAGCAAGTAGGCACCTCTCCTGGCAGAAATGCCCTTTCTACCCAATCTGCTCCTGAAGGATGGGAATGTGGCTAGCCCTCAGGAAGGGTCCCGGAAGCTCCCATGTCCATCCTGTGCTGGAAAGTGTGCACCTTCTTCAGAGACTCAGAACTCCCAGTCGTCCACCTCCAGCTCTTCTAGGTTTGTTACTAGGCCAAAGATTCCACTGTGATCCTGAGACTGGCTGCCCTCAAAATTGGTGATTGGGGTGACCGGCCGAAGTAACTCAGGCAAAGCCTCTGAGGCGCGTCGCTTAATCTGGGGGAGGAGAGAGAGTGAGGGTGTGTCTTGTTGCTCTGGGTCCTGGCACACCATGGAGCAAGGAACCATGGTCTGGTGACAGATGGGTCTTTGGAGTCAAGAGTTGCTATAAGTGGAAGGAGCAGCATCTTTAAGGGGCTTCAGCAAATGGTCATTTCTCTAATTCAATAGGAGGAGGAGAGAATACCCTAAAAACCCTGAAGTTAATGGGACTGAGGGAGTTAGAACCACAGGCCAGAAAACAGGGAGCCTCAGGAAAATGGTACTTTACCTGCTTGAAAAAGGAATGGTTCAGGAGGGTGCTGGCACTGGGTCTGCAGAGAGGGAGAAGAGAGACCAGCATCACCCTGTGCCCTCAATTTCCAAAATACTGTTACTTACACCTCACCCTCAAGTGCCTCTCTGCTTCATCCCTCAGCTCACTAAGCAGCCAGAGCTGCTTAGCCTGGCTTCTTGGCAAACCCTCAGGCCAACCCCACTTGCTATGGGGGCTCTGGACTCCTCTGGGGAACCCAGACCTTTACAGGACAGAAACATTCTCTCAAACCCTGCCTTAGACCGCAGAGCCCTCTCTGCTCCCTGGAAAGCCCACCCCCCAGCCCAGCGGAAGTACCTTACATCTGGGTTGCGCTGAAGGCACTGCTCCACGAAGTGGTGGAAATGGGGGGAAAAGGTTCGGTGATAGGGATGGGAGAGCGAGTCACCATTGGAAGTCCTGGGGGTGCTGGTGGCCAGGCTCTCGCTCAGGCCAGAGTTGGCTGCGGAGCGTGAGGTGCTCATGGTCAGCTCCTCAGCAGGGATGGTGCTGGTGTCCAACAGGCAGGGCACGGTGCCATTCAGTTTCTCCAGCAGCATCTGGGGAGGACAGAGCCAGGGCTGGGCTGGAGGGGG